TTGCAGCTTGTGAAAATATGATAAGTGGAACAGGTATGAGACCCGGAGATGTTATTACAGCATCAAATGGAAAGACAATTGAGGTAATTTCTTCATTTTGCTATAGGATAATCCTGTGTCATTAATTCTTAGTTAATTTTGTGAATATTTTCTTTTGAATGTTCATGCTCTCAATTGCAAAAGGTAAAACTCTTCGCTTAGTTTTTCTCTTTAATGTATTGTGCTACACAATATTTATTCTCACAACTCATATTAGATGATCTGTAATGAGACTGGATGTTATGAGGTTTAAATTTTCTGCATATTTTTTTTAAAACATTCATTCTATTGATAAAAATGAAAATGTAACAAAATCTTTCTTCTCAGTTTTTTTATACATTTTTTTATCCTCGCAACTGAAATTAGATGTATCTGCACAATGAATCTGGATTTGGTTTCAACATGCAGGTAGAATTTAAAGTTTTAACTTTTAACATTCAGTTTAATATTGTTGAACAATCCTGTCATCTGGCAGAAGCTCTTACGTGTTACTCAGTCAATGTCTGCGTTGCATGTAAATTTCTATGCTCTTACATCTTTTTTAAAGCACACCCCTTTCCTTTTCCGCTTTGTGTTCCTCATTTGCAATTCCCCCTGTTCATGACATTTCCACCAAGTAGAATGGAAAAAAAACAGAAAGTTAGGATCTCTTTACTCCATTTATAACTATCCTTGCAGTTATTAGGATTCTTTTTTGTATATATATGATGCTTTTTTTTGACACGTGCTGGGATGTGTGTGCAATAAATCTTTTAACCAATCGCTAGAGAAGATGTTTACATCGGCATTTGGCGTTTAAATACTTAGGAATATTTCATTGTGCATGTTAACACTTTATGTTACGAAGAACTATGTTACCCCATTGTATCAATGAAAATTGTTCGGAAAAAATGCTTTTATTATGTTTGGATATCTCAAATTCGAAGATTTAATGAATTTGCACTAACACCTGTCCTTAAAACATTTCTATAATTCATCCTGAGCCAGTTATGCTACTATATAGTTTTTCGGATTCCAGTGTTAAGTTCTGTTATGACCTGTCTTCTTTAATAGTTTGGCATTGTATCTCCCATTAATTGTAGAATGATGTACTAGACAGAAGTTGCTTTATTGTTGCATGTGGTATGGTTTTAATTGCACGTCTATCTGATAATTAAAAAGCTGACTTAGAGGATGTTTGGTGGGGATTAAAATTAGATTTTTTAGTAGATTGCGATAGAAGTTTTTGAAATGTGTTGTTGAAAAATTGTGAGACCAATGAAAAATGTGGTTAATATTTAACTTTGACTTATATTAAAATCATATTTTAATCCTAACCAAACAGGCTCTTAGACTAAAATTTTCTTATAAGTGAATAAATTTCAAAATAAATAATTCTATTCGTGGTATAAGTTGGAAATAACTAAGTATTTACTTTGTCACTAAGGTAAGACTTACTTCCAAAAGGTAACTTTTTTTTACTTGGAAGTAAGAAAAAAGTAGGTTATTCAAACATGTTTAGAGGCTAAATGTTACTTTTACTTTCTTTTTTAAGTTTAGCCAACGTGCTTTTAGTATTTTGTAAGGTACTTACGCTTTGGTTAGTTCTTTAACCATGTCAATGTCTTACTCGACAAACAAGTTTAAAAGAGTCAAAACTTTGATCTTCAAATACGTTTCACTATCGCTCCATCGCATAATAACTGTTGCAATTTCATCAAAAAGTTGTCCCATTAGGATCTTGCCTTTTCATTTAAAGCAAGCTTTCCACATATATTCAAACAACGATTTTAAAATTTATGGGACCCACTTAAGTTCAAGATATACTTGAAACAATCAATTCAATCACCTTCAGAAGCTTGGTCTGTCTCAATATGCCTTTTGTTATATTTATGAGTTTATCTCACTTATTAAGTTACTAATTTTTTTTTTTTTTTTGGCACTGATCATGCTTTAGGTAAACAATATTGACGCTGAAGAAAGACTTACAGTTGCAGATGCTTTGGTATATGCTTGCAACCAAGGAGTGGATAAAGTACACTTACATGCCTTTACTTTTGCATCTCTTTGGAAAACACCATTTTTATGGGTTTTATTCTCTCATCAGTTGTCCATGTATTTCGTTTTCTGGAACGAGTACCTAAAACGCACGAGATATATGATACACAAATTTAAAACCTTTGAATAAGTCATGACACTAAAATTTTAGGGTTCACTTTGGATTTTGATATGTGTTTTTAATCATTTGCAGATCGTTGATTTGGCCACATTGACTGGGGCTTGTTTGTTGCTCTTGGGCCCTCTATTGCTGGTATGTAATTTATAAATCTTATTTGTCCTGTATTCTTTGAGAACCACCTCCGATCCAATAGATTTTTTGGCTTCTTTTCAATTTGAAATTCATAAAATGTTCTTAACATGGAGATTCGTTGTGAAGATCCTTGCACTGGCTTATTCTTGATATAAAAAATCAGGTGTTTTTACACCCAGTGATGACCTGGCAAATGAGGTATTTGCAGCTTCAGAGGTTAGTGGGGAAAAACTTTGGTGGATGCCCCTGGAGGAAAGTTATTGGGAGTCCATGAAATCTGGAGTGGCTGATATGGTGAACACCGATGGTCGCCAAGGTGGTTCCATCACTGCAGCTCTTTCCTTGAAGCAGGTATAGCTTCCTCCGCACCCCTTATTCCATGCTGAAGATTAAGTTTGTTTTACGTTTTAAGCTTTTTACATACAATTTGAAAAAGAACTATGGAATTGCAATTCTCGAACAAGCAATCGAAAAGATTCTGGAGCATCCTCCATTTTAGTTGTTACGATAATTGCCTAAGTTGTAGTTTTGAACAATTCTTATAGCAAGTCGATTTCAAATCTAGAATATTGGCTATTCCGAAAAGAATTTCAAAATTTAACCAATGGGCTTCTTTTTCTGATGGCAAAAAATAATAAAATAAAAAAATCTTGTTATGTTCCTTTTAATCAGAGGAAATCACTTGATTGAATATGGAAAAATTGGGTGCTGCCATGTAGCTTAATATCAGCTATGTTCATGAGTTGAAGATGCATGGGTCATTAGTGGGAGTTTAGTTTGTGCATGGGCGTGGGTTACTTAAGTGTCGCAACAACTGATACTCATTTGGAGATGTTTGCAAATTTGACCAATTGAGGCAGGTGATTTTTTTAGTTGGCAAACTAACACTCCAAATGGTGAAAGAATCGCCCCCTCTCCATGTCTACTGGATCTGTTCTTGGGGATAAGGAAATTTTTTATGGATCATTGGACATTTTAGTTCATCTGAAGGTCTAGATATGATTGCATAGATTCTCTTCTTGTCTTTCCTTAAATTACATTTTTCCCTTCCCCTAGTTTTCTACTAAATTCTGCATTTTTATTTCATGAATTTGAACCTCTGCACTTCATGAAAACAGATTTTCTTCCGAATTTCTTAGAAAAATTTATTAGATAATACGTGTTATATTCCAAAGTTATCCCAGTTCTAGCCTCTATAAATGCTGTATACCATAAGAATTTGTTTGTAAGGTGGACTATACAATACTAGGCACTATTAAGGAAGAAAAAAAATGTTAAATCTAGTCTATTGTATTGCGTACCAAAGATGTTCTAAAAGTTCTCTAAATGTATACCTTACAACGCTTTGTGTTTGTGGGGTGGGGGGCCCTAATAAAGTGAAACCCAAATGAGCTCCGACTAATAATAGATTAAGAAACGAAAGCACGTGTTTGAGACTATAAGTTGTTCCCTAGTCTGTCTCAGTGAAGGCACCTGACATGTAACTCCGTACATGCAGTTTGTTGATGAGAAGGTCCAGTGGATGCACATTGACATGGCTGGCCCGGTTTGGAATGATAAGAAGAAAATTGCAACTGGTTTTGGTATTTCAACACTGGTTACATGGGTTCTAAAGAATTCTTCTTAGTTTGGGTGTCCGTGGGGCTGCTCAGAGGACAAATACCTTATATCTGAAGTCGATTCAAGAAAAAATGGAAAATTCTTATTCAGGTTGTTCGATGGCTGGGGTGTCGAGTTATACTAATAAAGATGGTTAGAGAAGAAAACGAGGCCGTTGCTGCGTTCTGGAGTCGTGAACTCTTGTTACTGTTCCTTTATATTATGAGAAGTTTCTTTTATTTTTGGCCCTATCATCTTGTTCCTGAGAAAATGAAAATATCCCATGTTTCTGCATGCAAAATGTGATGTAAAATGAACGCAGATTGTTCTCGAACTTTCCTCAGCATGGTTTACCCCAGCATAGCTTACCAAGGCTTGATCTCGGGCAGGATAAAAAAATTTCAATGCTAATGTGACAATAGAATCTTAGTTATGACTGTAGCAAATTTTTATTCTATCCACTAAGGCAGGAGATTAATTTCAATATTTTACCACATCCCTGGAGGAAATGAATACAGATCGACGTATACTTTAAATTGATATTTAATTTAAAATTTTGTGCTAAAATTAATGATGAAAAAGTCATAGGCAACCCAAAATTAAAATTAAAATTTAAAATTTAAAAAATCATAAGAATTCTTTCACAATTTAACAATTTATAGGTATAGCATCAAATAGGGAAAATTGCACCGTGGGCTTTAATTTATTACTCCAATAGTAAGATCTCGATCTTCAGCTAATCCTTGTTTTTTTTTTCATTACGGTTGCATACAACACAATCAATACTACATTGTGCTCTGCCTCAAACTTCATAAAATTATTGTGTGTCTCTCGTTAAAGTGTTCATCATTGCAAGTTTTTGTGTACTAAACAAATTGAAAGTAGAATTGAACTTTATAAAATTGACTCGTAAGATCTATTGATGAAGATTGATTATGCATTTTGTTTACGATCAACTTAAGATAAAAAACGCTTGAATGCTATTGTAGAATAACTTGAGGATTTGGCTCTTGGCCTTTTCTACTCTTTTTTTTGTACAATACTATAAATACGAAAATAATGGTCAAAATTATTGAGGCGTATTATTTCAAATTTTGACAGTCTTGTATAATGAAAGATTGACAAGAACACAAAACGACATGAGTCAGAATTTTTCGGGATTTACCCATCTTTTGATTCCTATTCCTCCGTATCTCAGAGCTTTTTTACTGGGCTTTTTGACTCACCTTCGAATCCCAAGTTTTGCAAAGAGGAAAGTCCCACTTCATCTTGCGCTGTTTTCTTCTTCAATACGCGGGTTTTTTTACATATTACATGGAAAGGGAAATAAAGAATTAAGAAAAATGAGCGTTTCTTTGACGGTAATGACCTTTAATCTTCTTGAAGATCAGGTAGAAGGCAGCCCAAATTCATGGGATAAAAGGAAGGATTTGTGTGTAACAGTCATCACCAGTTACTCTCCAATGATTCTTTGCACCCAACAAGGTTCGTGTTTGATTAGTTTGTCGGAAAACTAATATATCTCTGGATCTTGATCGTTTATTGCATTTGGGCCTGCTTGGATTTACCATTTGGAGATCGGTATCGTTTGTTTTTAGAAATTGTTAAGATTTATTTTTGGAAAAAGTGACAATGGCGGTTCGACTGTTTTTTTTTTTTTCCTTTTTTATTTTTTTGTTGATTTTGATTGATTTTAAGAATTTTTTTTCTTTTGTTTTTGCACGTGGTTAGGCTTGAAGACACAATTGGATTATCTTCAGCAATGCTTGCCTGGTAAAGTTCTTCATTATTTGGTTGATAGATCGCATTAGAAGAAATTTTGAGTTTTTCTTTTTGACTGTCATTAAAAAAGGGGGAAATGCTTCAAGAGATTTCATCTTGTAGAAATAAAATGGACCTGCTTATGTATCATTGAAATCGACCCTCTTGCTCAAGAACTATGGAATAAGATAAAATTTATAATTCAACTCAATTTTTGTAATCAGCTAAAGTCAAGTTATATTGGCAACTTCTCAGTTTTTATTTTATTTTCTTTTTTGAGTTAAGATAACTAGTATCAACTCATGTTAAGGCTCTAATTGCTTCAAATGAAATGTTTTTGGTTTTAAAAACTTATCCGGGGGGAAAAAAATTTATGAAAAAGAAACTTTGTGATACCTTTATCTTTGAGCTGCTGATTACTAGCAATAGCCAGTAAATGCTAACATGGAGGGGTCTTGTGCAATTTGTCGTGGTTTCTGATGACTATCTAGTTGTTACTGGTGACAAGTATATGGTGGTCAGGGACTGGTGACAGTCTGCTGTGATGGTTAAATAACTTAAGACTACTGGATGGTGCTTGCAATGCTTGCTTCATGGATGTCAATGACTGCAAGGTATCCTCAGGCAACTGTACAGTAGTTGCTGGTAGCTTACAGGTGTTCGTTGGTCGGTGGTCTGTGTTTGATGTCATCACTGGCAGGGTGGTAATAGGTAGTGGTTATCCAGTGGCTGCTGGTGGTTTTGCACAAAAAATTTCCCATGTGTAAATGGAGAAAACATCTTTATTCAAATTAACTTAGCTTTCCTTCAACCAGAAAAAACATTTTTTGTCAATCAATTGAAATTTTATACACTGAACATCAGAAAATGTGGAAAAAAATTTCACTAGTATAACAATCAGAGATTAAGCGGAAAGGATAGAACTATTGGCTTTGTCTGATTGAAATCTGTGGGTGGTATATGAGATCATGGCAGTTGAAATATCTTCTGACCATCCCGACGCAGCACTCACTTAAACACCATTACTTTTACTTTCTGATAAGAAAATACGTGCCTGCATTTCGAAGTTAGTATTTCTGGTTATGCTTTAAAATCAAGGATATTGTGTCTATTAAGTTGATGATGACGGTCCTTATATTGAATAATCTCTTATAGTCGGATTATCTACCAGCTACTAGGTGAACAAGTTGAAAGAAGTCTCCTTAGAATTGTTTAATTGGTGGATGAATACCCAACACCTAGAAAGAACCTGAAGGCTGGAGAATAAGGTGTTCAGCACTTGGAAAAGAAGCTCTAAAGTATTGCAAAAGTTGATGCATACTTTGGTTCACCTTGAGTTTAAAGAGTTGAGAATGTCACAATATCAGCTGTTTCCTGGTAGACTGAGTCTTGCTTGATAGCATAGGCATATGTGGTGTATCTATTTGTTAATTTTTGTCCAAACAATTATATCTTGTAGAATTTTTTATTGGGTGTCAAATGGAAAGTTGTTAAAATTTTGTTAATAAATTAACAATATAAAGAGTCGTTCGTAACCAAATTAGATGAATTTGCCACACTGGACTTCATGTGGTTTCATTGCTGGTCATAGTAGCTTTTGGTTTTCAGATGAGCCAGTATATGGTACGGGGCGTAAAAGCATAATGAGCACATAAAGATTTGCACAAAGTGATGGAGGAGATGAGCAGGAATACATCAGAGATAATACTTCAAACAGATTGATATGAATTTATACTTTAGTTCTAAATTTCTAAAATGTAGAGTTATTAAGGGATAGGCGAGTGAGTGTTCTCTGATAAATGGCCACATTGTGTGGTTGAATAGATTTATGAAAGAATGGAATGAAATAGAATAAAATTGGGATATCCCATTTGTGGCATATTTTAGACAGAATATACAAGTCAAGCTATATTGCCGTTGTTGATTCTGTTTGGTTGTTCGTCAATAATGCTGAAAGTGATACCTGTAAAATTACTATGTATAACCTTGTATTAACAAAATTTGTACTACTACATTACAATCATAATCTAATCAATTATTGGTCACAATAAACAAATGCAATGTAGTAAAGCATGCCTTTCCCGTGCTTTTTAGAAGTTCTATGCCATGCCACTGCAGAAGAGCATGGTGCAATAAGTCTCACATTGGTAAGTGTTAGCTTAGGCTCAAGCCTAGATATCTTTTAAACAACTATCTTGGAGCGTAGAAGTAGTGGGTGGACAGGGAAGATGCCATCAGTAGAGGTGTTGGTATCCGGATATATAAAATGGTAAAGAGCTNGGATATCCCATTTGTGGCATATTTTAGACAGAATATACAAGTCAAGCTATATTGCCGTTGTTGATTCTGTTTGGTTGTTCGTCGATAATGCTGAAAGTGATACCTGTAAAATTACTACGTATAACCTTGTATTAACAAAATTTGTACTACTACATTACAATCATAATCTAATCAATTATTGGTCACAATAAACAAATGCAATGTAGTAAAGCATGCCTTTCCCATGCTTTTTAGAAGTTCTATGCCATGCCACTGCAGAAGAGCATGGTGCAATAAGTCTCACATTGGTAAGTGTTAGCTTAGGCTCAAGCCTAGATATCTTTTAAACAACTATCATGGAGCGTAGAAGTAGTGGGTGGACAGGGAAGATGCCATCAGTAGAGGTGTTGGTATCCGGATATATAAAATGGTAAAGAGCTTTTATCTTTTGAGCATCGATTCCCAATGTTATCCAAGTCTTGGTCATTCATCCAAATAATAACTGTTTTGATGGTAATGTTTTATATAACGTGGAAATTACAAGCTAATGTTATAATCCTTTGCAATAACTCATTTCTCTTGAATTGGTATATTCTATATGATGTGCAACTCATTCTCTCCAATGAAATAGATTATGAACATTTTGGAATATCAAGGAAAGGATCTGACGACACTTCAGATCAACATTGCACTATCTTTTATGATAAGGAAAAGGTGAAATATCTAACTCTTTTTCTTTATCAGGAAAATCAAAAATATAATTTCTTTCTAAAACATTACCTAATTGATGCAGGTTGAGCTGCTGGAAGGTGGAACTTTTTGGTTGTCAGAGTCGCCTTCAGTGCCTGGAAGCACATCATGGGGGTCTGCAGATCCATGCATTGCAACGTGGGCTATATCCTTTAGCGCTTCTATAAGGTGTCTTAAATTATTATTTGCCGCATAGTACTACTGCATGCAATAACTGTGCGAACTTTGTTTACCTTGATAAATTGTGTACACATTCCAACTAAAAGGAGTTGAGCCACCGGGTTTTTCGTTTGAAATCGTGAATACAAACATGGATGAGTTCAGTCCTCGTGCTCGTAGGCGGGGTGCTTTGCTCACATGGCAGCATATTGCATCCTTACCTCCTAGCTTGCCTGTTGTGTATTGTGGAGGATTTAATACACAAAAGGAATCAACTACAGGACGTTTTCTTCTTGGACGATCAAGGTATTACTTTCAGTTTCTATATGTCGTTCATCTTTTAGCAAATCTATCCTCTTTTCTTTTCTCGTACTAGTAAAGCTCAACTTGATCAATAGCAGTTATATTCACACATGAATCAAGTGATCCTGGTTTTATTGAACCTTCACTTCAGAATATTAGAAACGAACAGTTGACTTGACCCGAATTCACAGAGCTCACAATGGCAAAGCCGCCATTGTCTTAATCCTAGATTTACAATGGGTGATAACTATCCTGAAACTAGACCAGTTAGGATTATATTTTTTATGCATTCAAAAGTAAAGTTGTCAAATGCGAGTTGTGGCCACTTGTGAGCCTTGTGAATTTAAGTGTTACTAATAAAAAATGACTAGTTTTAAATAATTGCAGAAGAAATGGAGCAGGTGTAGAACTGATATAAACAAGAAAGATTACACAACGCTTTTGCCTTTTCAGAATGCTGCAACCGTTTGTCCTGAAATTCCTTCTAATTAGCCTGAAGTTTGTTGTGTTTATCCTCTTGCTGGATGCTAATATTAGTTGGAACACTGGATAGCTGCTTACTTTTTTCTCATTATTTCTATTTTAGAGAACATGGCGTTGTAGGTGATATGAGAGATGCATGGCCAAATGCCCGTGTGAGGAAAAACGTCTCTCTAATTCGGACTTATCATGGATTTAAAGGTGATGACTTATCCTCTACGCTACCATTGACTTCTAATGGGCTAAACTCTTTAAAACCACGTAACCTAGATTGTGTCAGGTAACAAGCAGGGGACTCTTGAATTCCTGAAGTTAATATTCAGAGCACTTTGCCTCTGCTGGGATCGCCAAACCCAGGATCTGCACATCGATTGGATACTTTTTAGGGGTAGATCACTGGTACCTGTCTCTTGTGAGGTCGTGAATGATAATGTTGATGGACTTTATCCTTCGTCTCACTATCCTATATTTGCTGAATTTATGCTTCCCCGTGCTGTGAGATTGATCGAGCCACCCACTCAAGATTGAAACCACTATCCATCGCCCACCCGGGTTTTGGTCCCTCTGTTTTAGTACAATGTTCATCAATCTTTTGGTTTTCTACTTCTAATGTGTCTTCGTGTTTGTTGACTATGTTAAACATCGCTAGTTTTTCCATCAAGGATTGGTGCGTAAGTAGTGCCTACAAGGTGTTGAAGATGACGGATTTTATTTACGTGCTTGACTATCTCTTTTGCAATAAAAAGAATTTTTTTTTTCAAGTTTCCTGTATTCCCTGTTCTCAAGTTCTTGCTTGTACATTTTACCATAATTATTAAGAATTCACTCCATAGCTTTCAAAGAAAACCTTTTATCCTTCGATGTTACAGTCCCTCTCTAATCTCTTTAACAAAGCTCGTTACTAAATAAAGAAAGACCATAGATTGAAACTTCTAACGGGTGAACCTATCTCCGGATTCCTTGACTAACTGAGCTTGAAGCGAGTTTTTTACTAATCAGTACTAGTAGAATAGAGTGCTACTACAGGAGAGAAGGAAGTAATAAATATTTCAATCGCGCTTAACTCATACTTCAATACATAAAAACGAATATTAACATCCTTGACTAACCTTACATGGGATTAAAAGTTGATCATTCTCTTACTACTGGATTCAATGTCTTGGTAGCTGTGCTGCTGTGGAAAGTAAAAAATAAAAAATAAAAAAATTTGAAGATCTATCCATCCTTAATTCGAATTGTAGGTTGCAACTCACGAAACTTTCTAGTAATTACTAGTTAGTGGTACGGACTTCGTACATATTGCTCATCTCGTCGGGGAAGGAAGCTATACTCCAGAATTGTCATGGTTACTTAACTGCGACATACCCTTTGTGAATCATATTACAATTCAATATACTTGAATGAGTAATGCAATTTAGCACCATAAAAGAATCATCAACAAATTTTTTATTTTTAAAGAGCATATTCTATCATTTAGAGAGTATTTATAAATTTAGAGAATTAAAATTTTAAAGTACTCCAACAAGTTTTACATATTTAACACTTAATTTACTATTGCCAAAAAATATTTATTATTTTTTTCTATATTTTATTTTAACGAGTTTTCTTTAGATTATTTTATTATTTTCTACATTGAAAATAGAAACACTTTGAATGCATTTTATTATAGAGAACAAGTCCACTCTTTGAATTAAAATGTTAATTTAAAAAGTTTCTTGAATCATGATTTTAATGGTTGGCTCTTTAAAATAGAAAACATATTTTGTTTAAAGAGTTTCTTGAATATGCTCTAACATCTAGATGACAACATTGTCGGGGGAAAAAATTCCACCAAAATGCATTGCAAATACGATGGAAATAAAAATTGAACGACAAGTTAAAAGAGAAAAATACAAATTAAACATGGTTCAATAAATAATTGACATTCACATAAAATTAATTGCTGACTTTAATTTTATATGCAACTTCGACTTCTAATCTAATTTAATTTTACTAATTTGAGTCCATTACCAAAATAAATAAATAAAAAAACACAACATATTATAGATCCAAAGAATGAACTATAGATATTCTTATAGTCAATTAACTTGTCACTTTTTTCCATATATATCTATTGGCGTTGAATACCACTAACACTGAACCACAGAATTGTGAATGTATAGATCAACTTGTGCAATCCAATACATGTCTCAATCAAATAAGCTCATTTTTGTGTTCCATTTTAATAAAAAAAATGAAAAATAAAAGCGAGTGAAATCAAAGAAAAATCAATGCATAGAAGTAAGTGATCCCATTGAATAATCCTACAAATAAATTAGAAAAAATCATATACGTGTCTTTCTTAACTTGTATGACATACGCAAATACAAGAAAAAAATTCAAGATTATGCTACCCGATCCCCACAACTCTACAAGTCATATATATAACTTGACTAGGGTTATATTCGTATAATACTTATAGCATGTTTATCGAAAATATGTTTTAATCAGGATATATTATGATGTGGAGTAACGAAAAGAAAAATGAGGTGACAATATATCCATCCTATTGTATAATCCGGTTTATCATTATGACAACTAATTACGCCTTTTTTAATCAAATTTTATTAAAAGTTTTATCAACTTTTAATTTATTAAATTTTTACTTTTTAACACATGAAATTCAGGGGTCTGTTTGGGCCCGATTTTTTCACCCAAAAAATTAATTTTTTGATCGTTATTTTAATATTTCAATTGTCATATTTGATTTCTTTTTTCACGGACGAATCCCACTTTTCTTCTAACGATCAAAAAATCAATTCTCAAAATAACTTCCAAACACCTTTAGATTTCAGATCAGGTGTCATTTTCGTAGGTAGTAATTATGTTGACCAAAAATTACATCGCTCCAATAGATTTGCGTAGAACAAATCGCGACCGTAGAAACCAATCTGAAGAAGAAACATTTCCAATCACACCTCTCTCATCTCCAGTTCGCTACGTACTTTGCTTGCAGTTTCCTTCTTGTTCTTCCCGTGTTTCTCAATCTCCTTGCACATATTATACACATATTTCGTGTTAGATTTTCAGGATCTAGATCTTGTGGGCGAGTTCTTGGAAGAAAATGGAGGTCTTAGGAACAAGGCCTCCCGCGATTCAGCGATGGGTTTTTCGCGTTATGGTTATTCTGTTCATCACTAACGTTCATTCTTTCTACCTTCCCGGTGTAGCTCCCCAGGATTTTGTGAAGGTCAGTCCTTCTGGTATATTTTTTATTTCATTTCATTGCTGTTGATTATATATGAAGATTTTGTACACTATTTTTTGTTTCTGATTTATGGGTTTGGGTTTAATTTGTAGTTCTTATGGTTCTGAGTTTATATTTGCATTTCTGCGTACAAATTCTATGAAAGTTTTAATATTTTCCTATTTTATTGGAGTGACTACGATTCCTAAATATCCATTTTGTGGGATGTCATTACAAGATTTCTGATTTAACATGGGGTTAAAGAGTTCTGTGCTTTGCTTTCATTGTACGTTTTCCGTCCCATTGTCCCATTTATACTGGCTTGTTTTGTTTTTCACGCGGATTAAGAAATCTTATTTAATATTACTGAAAAGCAATTTTTATCAATAACTTTTCTAGTTTACCCTATGTATATTTGTACACTTTCAAGGTTAAGTGGAAAAAAAAGGTTATAATTAGGCAAATTAAATAAGGGTATATTAGTAAACGCAAAATAAAAAAAAGCTCAATAAAGAAATAGGACTATATAATTGGGACAACAAAATAAGAAAAGTAAGCCTATATAAATGGGACAGAGGGAGTAGTTGCTAAACATAACTAGAAATGGTGCGAGCTTATAAGTTTTAAGAAGTGGGATGACAGTTATTTAAATTTAGACATCTACTTCCTGCCGAAGGTGTATGTTCAAACTCAAGTATTGAGCATTGAACTAAGCAAAAATGAAGGGACACTGTTGAAAACAAAAATGACAGTTAGTATATGAACTGTAGTACCTTTGACATTTTCTGGGTAAGAAGCATGAGTCGAATTGTATTAACAGGTCAACCACATCATCTAGCACCCTACAAACATGTGAGAAATTATAAACTTTTAGTAATTTGATCACAAGTTAATGGAATTGGATCTTTGTGATGATGTAATAGTGAAACATAAAGAAATTTTTTGGACCGATGCTATAAGTGGAACAAAAACATGAAAATGAATGTAACAGCAGTCTATATGGATCTCCAGAAAGAAAATCGTTGACATTACGTTCTGATCCCATGTTTTAGGGGAGCAATATTCTATTGGTAAGACGATGACTTATGTAATTATTTAGTTTAGAATTTTTCTCTCTGGATTGCCGTGGATATGATTTTCCTGGCTTGTTATTTATAAAGAAGTCAAATTGAATACATAAAATTTGAAACTTGACTATTCGATGGCTGGAAATGTGAGAAAGAATTGTCCTTTGCATTGTGAATATATATGTAACATATCAAGTCAATGGTGGTTTCGGCAATCATTATTTTGGCATCACTTGTTACATGCCAGATATGCTTGTCTATTTTAAAAATTATTCATTGGAAACCTTCAGACACCCCCCAATAAAGACCTCAGTACCTAATTTGTGAACAATTGGCTTGGCTTTTATGCAGTAAATATGCATGGTTTCAGCAATCATTATTTTGGCACACGTGGTTTGCGGGATCACAAGCCCAATCTGCTTGTCTATTTGAAAAAAATTTCATTCGAAACCTTCGGGTGCCCCAATAAAGACCTCAGTACCTAATTTGTGAACAAATGGCTTTTATGCAGTAAATATTCATGTGTGCATTCTCCTATGTGTGTAATGCTTTTACTTTTCTCTTCACTTCAGTTTTTGTAACGTGAATTGCATGTTTTGCTGATTTTCTTCTTATGCAGGGTGATCCTCTGAAGGTGAAAGTAAACAAACTGACTTCCACTAAAACTCAACTTCCTTACTCCTACTATTCCCTTCCTTACTGTAAGCCAGAAAAAATTGTAGACAGCGCAGAGAATCTTGGGGAAGTTCTTCGTGGTGATCGTATTGAGAACTCACCCTATGTGGTCAGTCTTTCTAATGGCATTCTGTTGAATTTTTCATCTCTTTTATTCCTTGGTCAACTAACAAAATTCACCTCATTATTTCCTTTGGGTCAATTTTCTAACAATAGATAATAAACCTTGTATGATGCATAAAAATTAAGTGCTTGTTTGACATCTGTTTATAATCAGTCAAACCGCCTTTTACCCACACATTTAGTGGGACCTACAGTATTACCCACTTTTTTACCACTCATTCTATATATTTGTAGTTAAACCAATTATAAACAACTCCCAAATATGCTTTAAGCCTCTAACTGAAGTTTATTGTTGCAGTTCAAAATGCGAGAACCACAAATGTGCAATGTAGTTTGCCATATCACACTTGATGCCAAACTTGCAAAGGAATTCAAGGAGAAGATAGATGATGAATACCGGGTGAACATGTGAGCTACCATTTTTAGGAATGTGATGTATTCTAATAATATTGCCTTACATGACTCATATTCTACTTTTTTTGTTTTTATCAGGATTTTAGATAATCTCCCTCTAGTTGTGCCTTATAAAAGACCTGACATAGATTCCCTAGTGTATCAATATGGTGTGCCTGTTGGTGTAAAAGCACAGTATGCTGGAGTAAGTATTAACTTGATTTGCTTTCGCAGTTGTAAATCTCCTTTTCTTCAAGGAACTTTTTGACACCTTTTT